TGGTTTCTGCGCCCGGACATAATGGTGATAAATGGCCAAGGTCAGCAACTCTATCAGCCACTGAGACCACGCTCTCTGGCAACCGCTGATAATCCCTTACCTGCCAGGGCTTGCTTGCCTGTCTGTGCCTCAGTGTCACTGAAATGCCCCTTATCTCATGAAAACACTTGTCTTTTTGTATCTTTCCAGGGTGAAAATAAATTCATAAATTATCGTTATGCCTTGGATTTTTTAAAAAGTCTCAGTTATGATTTTTGTGGGGGAAGAAGTTCCTGAAGAATGGGCATGAGGTGGAAATAAAGTCGATGGTGTCTATGAAATACTTTTCTGCTTCATGTCCTAGAAAGCAAAAACTCAGGCTTTGGTGTAAGATCTTTGATGAAAAATTTCTCCTACCATAACTCCTTTCCTAATAGGACTAAAGCTTAAGTTAAAAAACAATTTTTACTAACTTTGACTGAGAATCTACTATGTGAAGTGCACAGTGGCAGATGATAGCAATACCAACGTAAATAAGACATAATCCAAGATTTTCCCCCAAGCAATATGAAACTTACGAATAGTATACAAAAAGAGGAAATGTATGCTAAATTTCCCAAATGTTCCCTTTTGAGGACTGTATTCATGTATCAAAGATAGAAAAGGTGGGATCATATTGTACCCCCAATAGATCATTTTACACACCCACCCACTCTTATCCATGGCTCTACATTAGTCTGTTGGGTGGAGTCGCAGCCCCTAAATGACCTGCCCCCCCCCCACAAGTGTGCGTATCCCTTACATCAACTGTGTCTGGCACGGGAGTCCCCACGGGGAACAGCTGGGCTGCCACCTTGCAGCTCCCACCAGCCAGCAGGCAGCCAGGGCTCCCACACCAGCCCAATGCAAGGTGGCAGCCTGGTCCCAAGGGCGCTCACAGACCAGTGGGAGGGACGAACCCCACAGCCCACAGGCCAGGACAGAGGGCAGTGTTTGTGGCCGATCATCACATATCCAGGGAGGAGTGATGGGTCGCTCACATGGCGAACCAGGCAGAGGACAAAGGTCAAAGTACTCAGAGACTGTACTTAAAGGGTTGTGTTGAGAAAGCCACGTTCGAGGTGAGTCCTGAGAATGAGCCCTGGTGCGTTACCATTGTTGTGTGCACTCAGAAGGTGGCAAGTGTCTCTTGCAGCCTGGATTCAAATCCAGGTTTCACCACCTCCCCACACGGGGAGCTTGGTCCGGACACACAACTTCTCTGTGCCTCCTCGGGTTCCTCGTCTCTGATGTGCGAATAATAACAGGACCTTCCTCGGAGGGTTATTGTGGGGACTGAGTAAATCAGTGTAGGCCAAGCTCCTTCAGTAGCACCTCACACAAAGTGGATGCTTGTAAGAATCTGTTAAATAAAAATAATGCCCCTTTGGCTTCCCTAACACCAACACTTAAGTTTTACATACGCAATTTATGTAGCACCCACTTTGAGTCTTTACCTACATGAAAATATACATGCATAAAACCAAGATAAGACTCTCAAGTATAGCCTCTCCTTTCATAAGGGGTCCCATGCTGTCAGTTAACAACACCTCTGATGCAGGCAGCCTCCAGGCTAAGTGTGTTCTTGTCTCCGTGACTGTGAGCTACACGGGGGTCGCCAGTTCTCTCGAAGGCTCCCAACTGATCCAGCGATGAAATGCAATATAAGTCAAAATCCCACCAGGCACTTGTTTTTTGTGTCAATAATAACTTGATTTTAAAATATATGTGAAACATCAAAAGAGTGATATGGTCCAAAGCACCTCTGATAAAGGAGAAAATCTGGATGATTCACGCAACCTGATTTCAACACTTACCGTGTAAGCAACACACACGTGCACACACCCAGCTTTTTGCCTTTGTTTTGTGCTGAGCCCTACTCGGGCTGCTCTTCCTCACACCTGGTGGTAATGTCTCTGTTTACTCATTATCTTGTCTTCTTTGGTACTTTAAAAAAAATAAATACCATTTTAAATTCACAAAGAAGTTTGCAAGAATATTTCGAAAAGCCCCTGCCTGCCTTTTAACCAGCTTTCCCCGTCGTTGATATTTGGCCCCATTGCCTTCACATTCCCTCAACCAGTTCCAAGGGAACTGTGGGCATTGTGCTCCCCTGCCAAGTGCTTCAGTTCCGATTCCTAAGAACAGGGACATTCTCCTAAATAACCAAAGGACCATGGTCAAGATCCGGACATTTAACACGGATAAAATGCCATTATCTAATCCGAAACCCAGATTTCAAAATCAACTGTCTCAGAAATGACTTTTGAGCCGTCATCCCCCTGGTTTAATGCAGGATCACGCACTGCATTTACTTGTCATTTTATTATTTTCTCTCTGTCTCCATTTTCTTTGGTGTGGCTTTCTTGAAACAGAAACACAAATATAACAAAGTTATGTCCTGACAGGCTGAAAAAAGTGTTGTGAGCAAAGGCCGCCCAGGACCAGGCTCTCAAGTCCCCCAGGAGCAGTGGTCTCGTCCTCGCTAATTCCGTGCTCGCTGTGACATCCTGCAACATGACTTCTGTGAATAAGGGGAACTGACGGTTAGAAGGAACCACAGCTCACAGTGGTGGCTGGCTTTGAGGTCGGGGTGTGGGGGAGGAAATCAGGGGCTGTGTCATTAGGGATGTTTGAGGCTGAAAGCAAACGTCACTAAATGCGGTGCTAACAGGGGTGCTTGCTATTACTTGTGATCATTTAATTGCCTACAGTAAACACCTGTACAAGGAAGCACAGTTGGGCGAGGGGGGATCAGAGGGTGGTCACCGGGAACAGTGTGTCTCCACACACTGACTACGGTGCCCATAGACTGAGAGTCAAGTGTAAGCTCAGTGGTGATCGAAAGCGGGAATCCCAAAAGATGAATGAATCACTGCCAGGTGGCCTCAGCTGGGCTTAGCACACAGCCACCTGCCCGCTCTCAGCGCTGGCGTTGCAAAGCTCTGCTGAGTCTGGAGGAAATATCATGTCAGGAGATGCTGTTGCTCTCAGTGCTGGTGCATGCCGATTCACTTCTGCCTAGCTTCTGACGCCAGTTCACAGCCACTCCGTAAAGCCTGTGTCTGTAGGAATCACGCCACCTGTGGCTTAAAACCTCTCAAGTAGATGTAATAGGACAGGTAGGTACTTCGCCCCAAGATAAAGTAACCGGGTATCAGAAAGCTACATTCCCCCCCATTTCAGTCATTACTGTAGCTATAATCTCCAAATACCAGTCTCCCGAGCAAAATGAGAAGAAGGGTATTTGCCACATGATGGAGAAAGATAAAAGTGATGCGAGATCCCTGGGGGGAAAACTGTGCACAGTATCCCTTTAAATAAACCGGGAGCACACAACGCACTTGCAGACGCCATCACCCGGTGTATGGGAGTTGGGGCTGGGGCACTACACAGGCAAGGCTGCTTAGCCGGTCCTGAGCTCCAATCTGAAGGATGAATTAATGTATGCCAAGAGTTTAATAAACATAGAAAAGTGGGCTCAAAGACTAATTTCTTCACCTTTGTTAAGTAATGAGGAAGCACTTCAAGAGCCACCCTTCCACACCGAATTTTAGAAGAGACTCTATCAAGCAGAACAAGGAAGGAGGGGCTGCTGCGATGTCACGTTCTGAACTTCCTGATGGTTAGGGCTTGGTCTTGTCCGTGAAATTTCTACAATGTATCATACAGCCTGCTGCCCTGGGTGCGACAGGGGAATTCTGCTCCCACTAGTACAACTGCAGTGTAGCAGCTTCACCCTTTGACTCCTGACCACAGCACGGTGGGTGTAGCCAGGACTTTGAGGACTCCCATTTTAAGTGATGCAGACGCCGTGACATTACAAATGGAACGAATGCAATATCAGAGGATTACGATTCTTTCATCACCTCCTGACAATCGTTCTGCGCTTCAGCCATGCTATAATTCTCTGCGACGGTGCATGTATAGGACTGAGCAGGACTCTGTTTTGGTCCTGGGTTTGGAATTCTGGTTACATTGCTGGTATTAGCAAATGCTTCACTATAACTCATCTCCAAGTCTATGGAGCAGGCGGGGGAGGGGTTAACTGCAAATACCAGGTAATCCTGTGTCTATTTTAATAGTTTCTTAAAATACAGTAGGTCCCCACACAGCCGTCCTTCTGGTGAAAACCAACTACGTGGCAAATTCACGAAGGTGTTCTGATCGCACCCTAACGATTGCTCGGCAGATCACGTAAAGCTCTGCCTCCCGGAGGTGGCCACCTGGCTGGGGGGCTGACGGGCCCCCCAACTGCCAGACTGCTTCCATGCACCCTTAATCGAACCCCTACCTCATAACACACTGATTCTTTTTTTCTTTACGAATTTTATCTTTTCATAAACTTCATAATCTCAGCAATGACCCCCAGTTCATTACACTTCTTTCCTCATAATTCAGTTCCCTATAAACAGCAGACGCCGGCTGAGCCCCAATCATTTTGCTGTCACTGGCGTCTTAGTAGCATTTTGACATCACGGCTGACCACTGGTGTCTAGAGCCATCTCTTTCTTGCTTTGGGCATCAAGGCACACAACCATTTCTTAAAAAGAAGGCCCGGCCGCAGCTGGTGTAGCTCAGTGGATCGAGTGTGGGCTGCGAACCAGGGGGTTGCCAGTTCAATTCCCGGACGGGACACGTGCCTGGGTTGTGGGCCGGGTACCCAGTGGGGGCCACGTGAGAGGCAACCACACATTGATGTTTCTCCCCCCTCTTCCTCCCTCCTTTCCCCTCTCTAAAAATAAATAAATAAAAAATATTTTTAAAAAAGAAGGTCCATACTCTACTGTAGAAATGGAAATTTTTTTTTAAATTGAAAGAGAACAGACTTACTTCATGCTTATGGTTCATTCCCACCGATGAGAAGTGCTGTACACAAATGCACTGTATCACTATGCAAGTGTGTAAAACACTGGAACCTTCCAACAATACAACACCTCAGTTTGGTACGTGGGTTTATTGACATAACTGAACACAACCATGTGCACAGAGCATTTATTCATTTCCCACTGAACAACATTCCAGGGAAACTCTTCTTAACATAGACCCAGGCACTGGGCATTTTTGGGGATGGTCTGCAGTTTAAAAGGGTGGGGTGTAGGAACCGTCCTTTTTCCCTGACTTTCAGTGGGACTCAACATTCCATGGCTATGCCAGAGAAAGAGCTCAGAGATGCTGATTGCTCAGTGAATGAAAAAAGCTGGGAGCAAGAAAGAGGCAAGATAGCCCAAATGTTGCAAATAAGAGCAAACAATTGCACCTCTCCCGTGGATCAGTAAACTTGGAGCCGGAACCAAGCTCTGGCAACAAACTAAGAATGACAGTCTATTTCCTGTGGTTTATTAAGTTTCAGCCCCACAGATACAACTGCCAGGAAAGCAGCTGTACTTTAAGTGGTCTGGACATTTATTCATCTGAACATAAGCAAAGATCAGTTCATTTAGATCCCTGGGTCTGTGCTCGGCTGTGGGGACAAGGGCAGGCCTGGCTCCGTGGAGTCCAGGCACAGAAGGGGTGGACTGGGGGTCAAGGACCCCTGGACTGTGATAGATTCCCTGAGTCATCAGGACCCTTAGGGGCTTATAGCCTGAGAGGAAAGAGTCGCAGTCAGCCTCAGCACCCACACCGTGGCTCCACCATACCCCACGGCAATGAGTCATAACCATGGCCAGTGTAACCTTGTGCACCCCCTCAGTGAGGACGCTTTCAGACCACACTCGGAATCATTCATGTAAACCAAAGCACCGCAGTCAGCAATGCACGTGCACTTCATAACTAGCAGGGCACAGAAGGATCTCGGCCAGCTGCAAATGACAGATCCAATGAAGGAGCCCAAGCCCAAGTTTACACCAAAGACATTGAAAAGAAATACTGCAATTCTTAACTAAAAGATAACATTTAATAACAACAGTAAAACACAGGGTGGTGGAGGGACTAATTTGCAAAACACAGGATTATTTCACAGTCGGGTGTGAGTGCTCATTCATGACAATCTTCTGGCTTTAGTAGAAAGACAACCACCGATAGATACTTTTTCACATTTTTTTCCCAATAAGTTCTCCCCTTTTACTATTTCATAGAGAGTAAGACGTTAATGCGCTCAAACATACACTATCAATTGACAATCGCCTTTTGCTCCCCTTTTTGGAAACTACCTTTGTCGCTTCATTGTGCCACTCAGGACGAGCAGGGCACAGGGTGTTTACTCCACACCGGACACACTGCCACATGTGCCGTAAGTGACTGGGCACACAGGCATCCCTGTGGGGTCACCACTCACATACGCATCACATTCTTGGATCAAGTCTGGCACTGAAATTTCCTTTGCCACCTATGGGTTTAAAAAAAAGAAAGAATAAACGTAAAAAGCCACAGGAACAACCCTTGCAGAGAAGTCTTGCATTAAGCCTTCTCCAGAGAAAACAGGTTATCGCAGTTAACTCCAAGGTCAGCAAACGTTCTTGTGGTGTTCATGTTAAAAAGAAAATTGTGGAACCTCCCGGCTCAGCTAAAATAGTCCTTGAGTTTATTCATCAGTTTGTTAAATGGCAGAGGTCTTCACATTGTTGAAAAAAATAGCGTCTCTAATTACCTAAACATTAAGTTATCCTGAATGTTCTGTTAACCACCAGAAAGGAGTTGCCTGGTGAGTGTGTTAAACTTCTCCACCTGCTCGCATCGCCCTTCTCCGCAGGAGCCACCAGACCAGGGGGTCCCTTGCCAAGCCTCCTCTGTAACAGTGCTAAGTTCCTTTTTCCTTAAATAGAACCAAAACACCTCTGTTTGAGTCTGGACGAATAGAAAGCATGTATCCGAATCTCCTTCTGGCCATGATGGGGGGCACAAGCCCCCTTTTTCACCGCAGAGGGGGTCAGGCTATTCATCACAATGCCCCAAAAGGCAATCTCATAGCTGCACCAGGATCTTCGGGTAAAGAAGGCTTCCCACCCCTGAACCCCACCATCCATGTGTCCCCTTCCATTGGCCTTGACCACCAAGTACCAGCCATTTACTTCGTGAGTGAGTACTGGGAAGCAGGGACAGGGGCAGGGGCCGAACTGGCTGCCTGTCCCCTTTGGCCTCCCTAGCCAAGAGGGTGAGAGGAGATGGTCAGATAAAGTGAGATCTTCCCCTGAGGTGAGTTGAGGGGCCCCACGGAGAGGTGGCTCCTCACAGCCAATTAGATGGTCTCCACACCCCTGGATCTAGTCGGCAAATCGCTGCAGGAGATGGTCTTCCCGCCTCAAGCTGCCACCCGCCCCACTGCCCCCGCTGTCCATGAAGCGGTCACAGGGGAACTCGATGAGGTCCGCCTCACTGAGCGCGCACACGGTGGTGCGGGGCCTGTGCGACTGGAATCCAGAGAAGTCCGCAGACACGCCGGTGCCCATGGAGCGCAGGGGCCGTCGGGTGGAGTACATGTGGCGAACGTGGACAGGGGCCCCTCCCTTTCGCCTGGCTCGCAGCTTCCTCCTCAGCCACCGGGATGCCCAGGCCGCCAAGGCCAGAAGCACTAGCAGAGCGTTGACGGCTAGCAGGGCCAAGGTCAGCAGCTGGTAGTCGATGCTGCTCCGGCTGCCAGGCTCGGGCAGGGTGACCAGCCCGGCGCAGTGGTCCCGGGGGGCCACTGGGCAGACCCGGCCCCCCAGCACGCCCTCCACACACACCAGATAGGGCGTATCTCCACGCAGCTCGCGCAGCGTGGCCGAGTCGCTGCGCTCGGGCAGGTAGACGAAGCGGTGGAATTTCGGCTGCTGGCCAAAGCGGTCAAAGAGCAGGCGAAAGCGCGCGCCGCCCAGCGGCCGGGGACTGCGGTGCTCTCGTACTGCCCAGCGCACGGAGGCGCTGTCTGCGCCCACAGCCTCCACGGTCAGGTTGCACAGGATGAACTTGTTGAAGTCACACGGGTCGGACACTAGCGGTGGCAGGCCGACCCCGCCGTCGGACTGCGCGGCGCTCTCCTGCTGCTGCGCGGCTAAGACCTGCTTCGCCGCGCGCTGCCAGAGGTCGCCAGCGGTCAGTGGCGCAGAGGCAGGCGCAGCGGTCGGGGTGGGTGCAGGGTGGGCAGCGTCCGCCGGCGTCGCACGTCCCCTCTCGGGCTTCTCGAGCAGGTCCAGGGGGTGTGGCACCGCGCCTGACACAGCAGCAGCAGAGGGGCCCGGCTGCTGGAGGCCCGGACCCCATCGGCTCAGCTTCAGGGCGCTGCGGTTGCCCCAGAGCTCCCTGGCCACCCCATCCCAGGGCACCCCGGGCAGAAATCGTCCCCGCTGCTGTGGCTGAAGCTGCAGCGGCAGCTCCTCTACGAGGCCACCTACAGGGGGCTCCATTTTCTCCCTCGTGACTGTGGGTAAGGGCTGCCTCTGGCTTCCCTCGGTTGGAGAGATGGAGGGTGAGGGATCCGCGCAAGACCCGTTCTGCAGTTGTAGGTCGTCCAAGTAATCCAGGTACTTGCCCCGGAGGGCCGGGGGGTGGCGACACTGCACAAAGACTGTGAGAAGCCGGCCTTGCGAGTGCCAGTCGCCCATCCAGCGCTTCAGGCCACGTAGCCTACAGTCACAGGTCCAGCCGTTGCCGTCTAGGTCCAGCCGGTAGAGAGCCGGGCTGGCGGTGAAAATGTCTCCAGAGAGGGCGCTGAGCGCGTTGTCGCGCAGGCTGAGTTCGCGTAGTCGGCCCAGGTGGCCGAAGATATTTGGGTGCAGAGCGGACAGCTCGTTGCCACTCAGGTCTAGCGCCTCCAGGTTGTGCAGAGGTTTCAGCAGCGCGACGGGCAGCTGGCTCAGCCGATTGCTCTCCAGGCGCAGCTCACGCAGGGCCTCCAACCCCCAAAAGGTCTCCGGCGCCAGGTGTGAGAGCTGGTTACCCCGGAGCGAGAGCAGGCCGAGGCGCGGCAGGTGCTGGAAGACGCGCGGCCCGAGGTGCTGCAGGCTGTTGTTGGAGAGGATGAGGGTGGAGAGGGAGCGCAGTGGTGCGAAGGTGACCGCGTGGCGTAGGGAGGGCTGCAGCTCGTTGGCAGAGAGGTTGAGAAAGCGCAGCTTGCCCAGTTGGGCAAAGGCGTTCTTGCCCAGAAAGCGGATCCGGTTGGACTCCAGATGTAGGTAGAGCAAGTTGGCCAAAGGGGCGAAGACCGCGTCAGGCAGCGCCCCCAAGGCGTTCCCGTCCAGTCGCAGCTTGACCAGACTCTCCAGGCCCTCGAAAGAGCCTCGGCTCAAGCGGCCGATCTCGTTCCCGTTGGCGTAGAGAATGCGCAGCTTGCGCAGCGGGGCCAGTGTGCCCGGGACGAGCGCCTGCAGGAGGTTGTTCCCCAGGTACAGTTCCTCCAGTCGCGAGAGTTTCTCGAAGGTCTTGGGGTGTAGAGAGCGGATCTGGTTGTACTGCAGGTCCAGCCGTCTGAGCTGTCCCAGGCGGTGGAAGTCGAACGCCGTGATGTTGGTTATGAAGTTGCCGCCAAGACTGTAGGTGAGCACTTCCTGGGGGTTCGGCAGCGAGCTGGTCTTGGGCACAGCGCGGAGCCCCCTGTTGGTGCACAGGAGGTGCTGGGGATGCTGGCAGTCACAGCGCTCTGGGCACACGGGCTGGGCCCGCGGCGGGAGAGCGAGGCAGCCGCACACCACGAGCAGGAAGCGCACGGCGCGGGCAGCCTCCATCGCCGCCCGCCCTGCGTGCAGCTGCCGGATCGTCCTCTTGGCCCGCCGGCTCTGTGTCTCCTCTGCATTCCCTTTGGCCTGGCCAGAGACGCTAAACGGCCTCTTTCGGGACTTTGCTGCGCAGTCCAGCCCCTCCTCCGCCCTTTGTCCGGTGGCTGGCCCAGGCCTCTGCAGGAGGGCTTCGCTCAGCCAAGTCCAGCGGCGCAGGGCGCTCCGAGAGCTCCCAGTGCTACTTGTTGCATCTCTGCAGAAAACTGTTTCTTCGGGTGCCTGTCGTGGGGCGGAGGGGAGAGCAAGAACTGATCTTTTTGTTTGCAGCTCGAGTCCGGAGAGCTGGATTCCCTGGCACGGATTCTCCCCGCCGAGTGGATTCCCCAGCTGCAGGCAGGCGGGAGCCCTTCCAAGAGCTGCTCAGGGCGCGGCTTGGCTGCTGCGCGCCCCGGCGGGCAGCTCGCCCCCGCAGCTCGAGCCTCCTCGCGGGACCCGGAGCGCTGCCTCGGTGGAACAGCCGGGGGAGGAGCCGAGGTGCGCAGGCTGTGTCGGGAAGGGACCCAAGTCGGCGAGTGGCGAGCAAACCGGGCGGAAATTCGTTCTTCCCACACTCTGCCCCCGGGGATGCAGGCGCGGAAAGAGGAGACAACGGAGGGAGAACAGACCCCGGCTGGGGGAGGGGGAAACGCTAAGTGGCTCCGCGTCTGGTCAGCCTGAGAGGGGGACGCCAAGTGAGAAAAGTAGGGATTAAAAACAGCTGTACAGGGCGGACACACTGGGCTGGGGGCGGGGGTGGATTACCGGTCGAGCAAACGGGATTTGCAGACAGAGACCTTTTTATTTTAGACAAGGACACCAGTCGCTTCGGAGCAGTGGGAGCTCGGCTTATCTTACTCATTTTTAAGGCACTTGCTCTTCCAGGGGCCGCCCTGGGGAAAGGTGGGGCGGCACGGAGTCCGCCAGCATGCTACAAAAGTTTTGGGGAGCACAAGGTTGTCTGCAAAGAGCTGTCAGTGAGCCCCTGCCAGGAGAGGCTAGGCCGATCCATTCAATTGCCGCGTGTTTGGGTTTGGGGCATTGCCGCGTGTTTGGGTTTGGGTTTGTGGCGGAATAGAGGCGCTGCCCCCTTAGGGATCTGAACTGGAAGCCCTTTTGTAGGCAAGAGCAAGGCGAAAGTTTAAAACTGCTTCTACCACCGCGAAAGTGTCTCTGCCAGATTTTGGTGGTTTAGTCCCATTACTTTTCCTCCCTGGGGAAGGCTCAGCAGATGAGAGATAGATGATAGATAGATAGATAGATAGATAGATAGATAGATAGATAGATAGATAGATAGATAGATAGATATGGATATCCTTCCAAGACCCTCGGGTAACATCTACCTGCAGGGGCAGGCAGTCCCTTCTGCTCCACGTCTGGGCTTGCAGTGATCTGTAGAGTCTTTAGCCCCCAAAGTCCTCAGGCCAGGTTTAGTTGGGGAGTCTTACCATTTAGTAGTAATAGAGAATGGGGCAGGTACCCGAGTCTCTTTTAAGGGCAGCCCCTGCTGAGAATGAGGATCAGGCAAAGAAGGGCTGGTAATTACTCTTGCTCATACAAACTGTCTTGCTAAAAATAAAATAAAGACCCCTTCTTTCCTTCAACCAACCTCAAAGTGTCCAGAAAAATGTAATTTTAGTGTTCAGAAAACGTAATTTGAAGGAGGTACTCTGGGGACAATGAAAGGCAACAGGCGCATCAAGAGGCTGGCAGTCTGGTGGGGAGGGCAAGGCATGGACGGCACCAGGGTAACTAACATAAGGTGGTCTGTGAGGAAGCTGCTGAGATGCAGATGAGGTTCAGTAACTCCAGGGCTTGACAGTGAGCCCTCATTTAGCCGTTCATAGAGGCCAGTGAGAGAGACAGTCACTGAAAGTAAGCAAAGATGAGATCACTGGCAGCATGGTCTGTGGAGACTTGCAGATGAGCAGGGACCTGGGCTCCAGGGTGATGAGTGTTGCAGAACTGAAAGTGGGTAGTGAAATGCCCATTCAGGGCACAGCGAAGGAGCACATCAAATTTGCCTGTGATTTGCTTTGAGTTTTCAGATTAAGGATGAACTTGGAGAACCAAGTATCTGTCATTAAGATGAAAGATGAAGTTAACCAGGTAGCTAGTGTTTAGTTCTCACTGTGAGGATCTCCTGAAACCCTTTCAGTTGCTGACTCCTGCCCTCCTGAAGAAGGTATGGCTGCCCTAGAGGGCGAGGCCCGAGCCTGCGCAGTGTGGCACAGGCTGTCCATCCTGGTCTTACGCCCCAGATGCTGGAAGGAGAATCTGCAGTCTTTGCTGCCTGTTTTTCAGAGGAAAGATACAAAGAAGTTGCTGGCTTTCCAGTCAAATCACTGGACCTACCTGGCATGGGACGGTGGCAGCATCTGATTTGAGCCCACAGCCTGGGGACACACAGCATTCTGAGCAGGACACACAGAGGTTGGAAGCTGAGAGAGGTGTGATGCGAAAGAGGGAGAAGCAGAGATCAGACCTTACTCCTTTCAAGGCCTCCTCTCCTTCTGACTCCTCACAGAAAAGTTGCAGAGGAAGTGGGGGCAGCAGGTGACCACTGTGGTTTGGACCAATCACTCAGTCCCCTGGGGGTGTCTTTCCTTTACAGACGCCTCAAAGTAACATTCAGAAAGCTATCAGACCCTCGCTGACATCCGACACCCTTTAATGCTCCGGCTGTCTTTGCTCTTTTGCCCAGTGGTTAATGTCCCTCCAGAAGTCCTGGGCTGCAGGTAGAAATACGCCACATGGACTCATGTCCTCCCGGGTCCTCAAAGTAACACATCTGCTGCGTGGAATTAACCTTGCTTAAAATAGAGGCAGTGTGCCATCTTTGAAATAAATATAGACAGTTTCTGATAGGTGTTGTTAGGACCCTCAGCTCAGTGTCAATAAGAGTAAGATCTTGAGATCTAGAGAGAAAATGATAACGTGTGTGTGTGTGTGCATATAAAGTTTTTCTGAAAAAGTGTGATTATTATCTTTTTAACAAATACTCCCCTTTTAAGAGGCATGTAAGCTGAAGTCAACTTTACAAGTAAATGACATTTAAACACTTCGGAGTCTGTTTATGTGATATTCATATGTGCCCCCAATGGTCTCCGTGTCTATAATGCTACATGTTCAGTGGTTCAATTTACATTATTTTCATCTCTTCCAGGAGTTGATGTGGCGTTTTGCTCAAATCCGGCAATAATCAGAGCCCCTGGTAGCAAAGAGCAAAAACTCCAAAACTGCATCGGCTTGGAATCCTCACTGCTGCTGGAGATCGGCAAGAGGCACGTGGTGAGAATTTCGCATGCGCCGAACCCGAGGATGAGCTGTGGGAATGCGGTGGCTGAGAGGTGCAGGGTCAGACCCAGGGCGCTCCACCAGCATAGTGGCCAGGCCGATGCACAAGGAGCAGTTGCAGCCGGGTGGTCAGAACTGTGGGCTGGAGCTGTGGGAGCCCTGGGAAGGTGAACTTGGCCTGGGAGCCTGAGGAAGGCTTCCAGGGGCAGGAAGTACTGAGTATTACCTGGATGCAGGTGAGCAGGGCTCTCAGGAGGGAAAGCGGGGGGATGTGTGCCAGAGATTGATTTAGGGACCTGTAAAACTTCTGTCTGAATCTTTGTTGGTGAGATTTTTTTTTGACATTGCTGTTTTTTGACAGTATCACACGCCCTTACTCATATAGTGACTTCCAAATAAATACTCCTTATTCCCCTTTAAGGATTTCAGCAGGCAGTTTTCATAATCATACTTGTACCATAACATCAAGCAGTATCTCTACCTGAATAAACTAGGTGCTATAAAAAGAAAGTGCCATCTATCTAGTTCTTGCCTTTAGAACCTTGAAATATGTGACAGTGGTTTGTGCAGGGTGTGTTGACAGGACATCCAGACCAAGGTATTCACTTATGTGAAATACACTGCACATATTTTGTAGAGATAATATATATGTGTGTACGTATATTTTTGTAGAGATTTTGTATATATGCATATATGTATAAGGACATGTATTTATATATCTATATACTTATATCTATCTATCTATCTGTCTATGGCACTGCTCTTAGAACAGGGCAACCCATGTTCCTGTCCTGAACCTGCACAGGCTCAGTCCTTCTCTGATTGTGTTCCTATAAGAGCTGGATTTTGAGCTTCCAAAGGGAGGTGCTCACCCAAAGCTCACACCCGACTCCTGCTCTGGGTTCCTGGGACTCTGGAGTCCTGACTTAACTGCCTACGTCTGTGCAGACCCTTTTCCCATCTGTTCTCCTGGGGGCCAGTCAGGCTGTGAGTGGATTTGCTCGTAGGGCCAGGGATGGCCAAAGGGCAGCTCTGCTAAAAGAATCTGGAGGTGTGAGCTGGGATTTGCATCGCTAATGCTGGATGGAGTCAGAGCGCAGAGGGGGCGTCTCAGGCCAGCCGACTTCTCTCACCCCAGGCTTGCCCATGTGTGGCATTTTAGGAGGAGAAAGTACTGGATTTAGAAAGAACAAGGAGAAAAATTACAGGAGTCCAAAGGAAAACATTTTTTAAAATGTTAATTCTACTTGATTATGACATAGTCTTTACCTAATTTTCTATAAAAAGCAATAATTTTTAGTAAAAGCAAGGACAGAGTTGTCTCCATTTAAATGCCTGTCTCTCAACGATGTAATGTCTCTGTTTATGGGTGGAGCCAGTCCTGATCCGGTTTCAGGAGGTTCAAAGATTGATTATGCCTACATGGATAATTTGCATAATCACCAGTGGACATTCAGGAAGGAATGCTGTTCATAGGGGAAATGGGAGCCTTGACATCCCACTTTTGGAAGGCTGGCCTTTTAACTCTCAGGTTTCAGAGGGTGGACACACAGTCACATCTGGGCTGGCTCCATGGCACCTGTACGCAGTGTCAGGGTTCTCGGGTGTTCTTGCCCAGGCACGGAATCGTCTCGGGCTTGTGGGAATGTGCACTGCTTTCTTCCCCAGCAGTCTGGGGCTTTGCTGAACTGTGGCTGTAGAGGCAGGAAGGATTCCAGGCCATGTCTTCAGTGGCCCCTGGAGCTGGCCTGGGTTAGCCCAGGCTGGCCTGGTGCAGGACACACTAGGGGGAGGAGTGCTCTGGCCAAGCCCCCGCTGCCGCAGTGGTGAGCCAGCCAAGCCTGGCTGGAGTGGCTTCCGGGGGCTCACTCAGGGCAGCCTGCAGAGACAGCATCTGCTTCCTCACCCCATGTGAGCCAGCCCCTCACAGGCAGTGTGGGCCCTGCCACCGGTGAGCTAGGACCTGAGAGTCCCCAGTAGTCCTTGGCATATTATCAAACGGCTCCCTCAGCTCTCTGTCTGAATGGGCCCCGTGTTTGCCCTGGTCTGAGGGGCCAGGTTCTTCACCGTGGGGGTTAAGGATGAGAAGAGGAAAACCCCTGGTTTGCAGTATATGTGCTGATGCTCCATTCTCCCCCTTAAGGAAACACAGG